TAGAGAAGCTCCATGTTTAGCAGTTTGAGGAACCTCCAAACAGTTTTCCATAGTGGTTGTACTAGTTTGCATTCCCACCAGCTGTGCAGGAGAGTTCCTTTTTCTCCACATCCTTGCCAACATTTGTTGTTGCTAGTTGTTTGGAGACCACATCAGGCTTTTTAAAAGAGCTTTTCTTTATACCAGACCCTACTGTGCAGCAGCCGTGCCAAGGTGAGCAAGCCAGTGTGCTTTCTAAGAATTTTCTAGTAAATGGACAAGAGGGGTAACACACAGGGAGTTACCTGACTCTCAATTGTGGCGAGGACTTGCACGTTGGAGGGAAGCTCAGAGGGAGAGCACGATGTTCTGCACTGTGATTTCTGTATTGAACTGGCTGTCTGCAAGGTCATTTCCTAAGGAGCCCATTATCTTCTCTAGCTATTGCAATGCTAATGCAAAACATCTTTGCATGTGTGGCTGCTTTCTCTTGAGTTATTGTCTAGGGGAAGGTTTCAGTAATGGAATTACTGAGTCAAAGCAATGGGTTCCCTTTACAACTCCTAGCTCTACTGTGTTTGTTTATAGCACTGCTAACCATGCCAAAGAGTATATATTTCCTTACAGCTTTACATTTGGCTTTCATCACCATTTTTTTTTGTTGTTATTGGCAAAAAGGTAGGGTATGCCATACCAAATGGCACTTCATGTCAAAAAATTTTTAAAAGATTTACTTATATATACAGAACTGGGGTACAGGCCAGAGGTACGGGGTTGGTGAGAGGATTTACTGGAGACGAAGTGGGGCACAGAACAGGCAGGTGCACTGAAATACTCTGCTGAGGGGAGCAGTGGGCAGGTCAGGAGAGGTCTGCCATGCCATGTGAGTCACCTTTCTGGCTAGGGATTGAACTCATGCTGCAGTGGCTGCAACAGCTTCATAGTGCTGACTTTACCCAGTTATGCCACCAGGGAGGGCCTCATCTCATTTTTGATTTGCATTTCCCTCATTACTAATGGTACTGGATGTCTCTTCATGTAAGCAGGCAATAATATACTTTGGTTGACTATTCATTGGGGCAGACTAGGTGTTTCTATTTTTGTGATTCTTTGCTTTGGAAAACAGATTCATCCCTAATTCCTCACTGTTGTTCTCATCAGTCATGTGAAATCTCTCTCTCCAGTCCTCCAGCTTGTGACATTGGACTTGTTTTCTCTAACATCTGGTGAGTATCCTGCTCTTCTAGAAGACTGTTAGAAAAGGCATTGGGTAAGAAGGGTCAAAGCAGGGGTGACTGCCAGTTTTAGCTTCAACATATGAAGAACTAGGAAGTCATCAGCCTGGCCTACCCTCAGATGAAGAAGACACTTGTATAGCTTCTATGATCATTTTTTGATTCCTGTAGGGTGGAAACGTTACGCCATTTTGTGGGGATGAGGAGACAAGCAGAGGTGCAGGGAGGCCCTACCACCTTTGTTTACTTTGACTTTGTTCCATGAAAGGGAATAGACTATAAAAATATTTCTAAAAAACTGAAAACTACTGCTGGGTGGGATATGTGCTAGATTTTCAAAATCAACTAAAGAGATTCAAGAGTAATCCTGTCCTTTACCTAATCATTACTCACTCCCCTTCCATTCCCCAGCCTGAGGCCCAGAGCACAGCAAGCTTTTAAAACAGCTGGGATTCCTGTCCTGACAGGCCCAGGAACCAGCACCACCCCTCCTGTAGAGGGGATAACATTGTGTATCTCAGGATATCAATATAGAGAATATCTTTGACTTAGTTTTAGAGAGAAATTAGGCAATGGGGAATGAAGAGTAAGGTGCAAACAGGATTTTGCCCCCAGTTATTGTGATTAAGTGTATTTAATTTCAAAATAGGATGGTTTCTGCCTATTTTCTGTGCCCCTGTAACACTGGTAGCCCCAGGGAAAGTGACAAGCTACAGGAGCCTTCCAGTCCTCAGGAAAAGACAAAACTTAGCTTGCAGACAGGAATGACTACTTTTCAAAGTCCTGTTGTAATCATTCAGCTTTCAAACCCACCCATTCATGGACACAGAAATAAATTATGGCAAAGCTACTTGGTGTTGCCTTTTATGGCTGAAAGGATTTCCCCCTTCTTGCAACTGTTGGGCCTTCCTGGAAGGCAAAGGCCTGTCCCTTGACACAATCTAGCAGCTGCTGTCTTTGCACCAGGCATATGTTAGGTACTTGGTTTGATAAATTGCTCTGGGAAAAGACTGATGAATCAGTAGGAAATCAAGCAAAAGGAAACCTACATGTTTGATTACTTCAACTGGGTCATTTGCAACTGAGTGTGGAGTTATTGCCACTGCCTGACATCATGTCACTAGCCCCAGGGGTGACATGACAGAGCTGGCTCCTGTTCCTTCCTGGGCAGAAAGGAACCTTTTATCTTTAGTGGCCTTTCTCATGTGATCCATTGTAGGCTTTGTAGGACCAGCTCCATCCCTTTTAGTGTCTCTTCGTCCTAACAGAGACAGCTCATCAAAGATGGACATGCCTGTTATCCATGACAAACGATTCCTTCATGGCTCCTCTGTGGATACTCAGTCCTTCTCCCACACATACACACTTTGGGGCTCAGGGGAGTGGCCTGTACCTCTCCTACACCCACTCTGTAATCCCCATGACCTAGGTTGGTTCCTGCTCTTCTCAGAGGGCCCCTCTAATGAAATACAGTGACCAGGCTAGCCAAGATGCTCTATACCACTGACTGGAATGGCTGCACCACTGTTCAGGCAAAGCACTCCTCATAATTAAAGTGGGCAAATACTTATCATTAGACTCCTGTATGATAGTGAAGACACTTATTTTAATTGTTTTTTATAGGAGTCAGATGACAACAAAGAATGTTAACTGGAAAGCAGATAAAGTATAGCCACAGAATATCCCATCAGAAACTCCTAGTTTAGCATGGAGCAGAAAGTTTTTTTTCTCTCTCAGATTAACAGAAAACAGTCAGTTTAGTTAGCAGATATTTTAGCATCACCTGATGACGAAATTTAGGAAGATGCTACTTTACTAAGCACCTGTTTTGAGGTATTAATACTTGAAATATGCTTTTTCATAATCCTCATCACAAACAAGCCAAGTATACTGATCCCACTTTACAGCTGAGCATATGAAGTTCACAGACTGAAGCCAGAGCAGTATAGTACTGGCCTAAAGTCAGCTGTGGACAAAGGTGGAGGGCCAAAAGCCCGTGTCCTTTTTATACTGCCACAGGAGAAACACTGCTTATATTTCAGTGCTGCAAGTAAGTCACTATGTGATGTCCAAACACCCAATGTCCAAGATTCCCTAATATATCTATTACTTTTTGGTCTAAAAAATGAGAGGCTGCCAGTGACACCTGGCAGCTGAGTTGAAATTCAGGAAGACAAGAAGAGATGGACCTGGGAGCTGCACTAGGCATGGCCTTCTTTCCCTCTAAAGGCAAAGGTCTAAAGAATAATCCGGAAAACGTGATGGAGCACTAACATCCCACTGAACTCTAGAGTACCAGTTAATGGTTCTATTACTAATTGCTATTAGCAAAGTCAAATTAGGAAAACACACTTATTTTGGAAATATAATAAAGGACTAGTAACTTCATCTTTTCACATGAAATTCCAGTTAAGCTATTCATGCACAGTACTATGTTATTTTGGTAACACAGGGACACAATTTAATGATTCTAAGGGTTTTTTTTGTAGTTTTTTTTTTTACAAGTCAGGTGCCATAAACATTCAAATAATCCATCTTTTAAAAAGTACGTTTACAACATCAAAAGAATTGAGGAAATATAAACCTTTCTACTTACAATTTTTATACAGATTAACCAAATCACAAATACCACAAATAAATGTTAAATTGTAACAATATAATGAATAAACATTCAGATTCTTAATAAAATCTTCCTTTAACATTTTTTTAAAAAACTTATCATTATTCTAAATAATCTATGCAGAGTTTTGGGGTACAATACCAAGAAGGCACCAACAATACAAAGTAGATACAAAGCAGTTTCAGAACTTTCTTGAGTGTTCTACATGGGTAAACAGCACAAAGAAGGCAACGAGCTTCAGGTAAATACCTGGTGCAACCCTAGAGAATTCCTTCTGGATTCCTAGTTGTTTCTGATCAATTATGCCAAGGCTGGATTACAGTGAGAGAAATCACATACTTACTCTACTGTTACATGCTTTTCATCTGCATTATAAGAGTATCATATTTCAAATACTAGCATAACAATTTTAAAGCACAAATGCTTTAAAAATGTATAAGCAAAACGATTGCTCAGATTTTCAAAACCACTACATTTACAAAAATATGTCCCTTAAACTTGGGATTACTCCAAAACATTGATTTACAAATATAAAAGTATCATGGAAGGACCCAAAGCATATGTGCGTGTGTGTGTGTGTATTAACATACTGTTACCACACTATATAAAAGTCACCAATTTAAAAACTGTATGGACGTATAAGCAAATAAAGGTAAAAGTCTCCTCTGAATGGTCTGAATATTATGTGGCATGCATCATGGGGAGTGTATCTGTGATTCCTTAGAGACGACCACTGATGAGCCACATGTGGCTCCTGAAAGCGAACAGGCACCGCCACACCGATCACCTCTGCCTACAGCAGAAGGAATTATGTGAACACACCACACACTATGTACTGCGCAAAAAATACAGTGATATTCTTCGATCCATGCATCAAAATGGTCTGCGTGTCAGTATCAGCTTTGAAGACTTTATCAGCAGAGTTGTCATGAGTTTTCTCAAATCCAGCCCACTAGCTTGTTAGGTATATTTTGCCTCAATAATAAATAAAATGATTGGAATGTTTCAACAGGAATTTTTTTTTTTTGCTTGCATTTGCCTAAAGCTTATCTGAGGACACTAATAATGAGGGCATTTAGAAGACCTAATCTGTACATTTTTTGAGATGCTAAAAGCTCCAATGATGAATCTATTATACATAACAGCTAGTACTTTGCACAGATACCTTAATTATGACAATTTTCTGATCTGTTAAATCAAGTTTGGCATGATTAAAAAAAGCATACAACTTATGGCTACAGTGATTCTAAAACACAGTTAGTGGTTTCAAGTCAACCTGACTCCACTGTACCAGGGAGTGGGGTGGGAAAGGAGCCCACAATCCTTAGGTATTAGTAACCAAGGCTATGGCTTTCTAATTAGAGGACTGCAGATTAACCTCCTAATAATAACATTCCATTTTAAAAGTACAAAGAAAGAAGAGTAGTAAAATTGTCAACACTCCTTTGAAATGAAAACTGACTTAATCAATTACTAAGCAACAGTCAAACCTCTCTAACCAGTCACTGCTGTATGGACCTTCACATGGCTGTTCTGTGCATGAAGGTGAAAATCATGGATCTTAGGACAAGAATCTTAAAGTGGTTGTGATTTCTGAAGATGAGCTAGTCATCACTCTTTAAAGCCTGTGAGATGGGAGTGTCAGCACCCGGGACTGGGGTTGTGGGCTCGGGGATGGTGGGTAGCCCTCCCCAGCACTCAGCTGTGCCCAGCAACAGCTCTGGGGCAGAGTTAGGCCCTCTGTAGAAAGAACAGGAACTCAAGCCTGAGACATCTGGGCCTCTTCATCAGAGTTTGACAGAGTACTTTAGACTTATGATTTATATAATGAGATTATGAGCTGATGTTCTGCTGTCAGAAGGAAAAGGAGGACCTTACAGAAATGCTTTGTAAATCATCTCATGTAAACCAAAGTGTTGGGGCGGTACCTAGGTAGGAAGGTGAGGCCGTGAGCACTTCTGTCCTAAGCACAAACTGAACTTGATTGTCCACTTGGACACGCTGATCCAGAGGAAATCAACACTGAATCTTAACATGAATATGAAGATAAAAGATGTATATTTATTTTCATGAATTACAAGTGCATTTCTGTTCATATTAAGCAGGCAGTCTTTATATAACCCATTCTCCATTGCTGTCAAAATCAAACAAGAAAAAAGGACAGCTGAGAAATGAAAAGCTAAAAATAGAATTATTTTTCATAAGTGATCTGCTGGATAGCATTTTCCGTGGAACACAACTCAGAGGTAACAATAGATTTTTCGTTTCAGTCATAGGCATGTGGCACTTGGACAGTCATCTCTGCACAGAAAGCTGTAACAGTCATGCGAGGGTACAGTAATTATTGAACAAGGCAAATTTCTCACCACAGAGAGCAGTGGGGGAGTCAGGAGGAGGCACCGCACTGGGACAGAACACCGAGTCAACGCCACAGTGTACAGTGGCAGGAACAAATACTTAAAGAGATCAGGAAAATATGGGATAGAGCTCCAACATGACTTAGTGCTAGCTTTTTCTGATGGTCTTAACTCAGCAGTATCAAAAACATCTGAGAGTACTTGATGATAGGATAGTGCTTCATGTCATGAGCTCATGACGGCTTTATTACAAATTGTTATATCGTAGGTTGATAAATGAATTTGAGATGCTGACATGCTGTAGGAGGAAAAAGAATTGTACACTTTCTCATTTGAAGATGCAGTGTTCCTCTCTGCTAAATCCTCAAGCATTGAGTGTGGCTGCACTGAATGTGGCATACCGTGTGAGGTCACACAGGGCTATATAGTGTCGTGGGCATTGGAATGCCAGCCTGCAGTACGCCAGGCTGCAGTATCTTCTCCAGGTACTTCCCTCAGCACTCTGCTGTGACCTTTGCATCTCTCTTACTAACTGCTAAGTGAAGTTGTCACTTTGCTCCTTTGCTTATGTTTGCAAATGTAAGAACTTCATGTAACACATCTGGTAAGTGTTAACTTCTATGATGGTATAAGTAGCCACAGTAAATGCAGAGTGTAATTGCTGGGTAATTTCTTTTTATTTAGAAAAAATGATTGAGTTTCTAAAACCTGGGCAAACGGCACATACTTTAACATGATATGAGAAAAGATGGGCTGCAAACGCCCCCAAGATTCCCAAGATGGGAGTACCTGCTGCAGGCTGCAACATCATCCCAGGTGTTTCCAGAGCTCCTGCCCTGGGGAAACAGGTATGGTGAAAAGGTGAAGTGCAAAGAAGGGCTGTCACTGACTTAAAGTGCCCTAGGTAGTAGCCTTCCCTATTGTAAAGTGAGATGCCAGTGACGAGAGCCAATTTGGAAAAGAACTAACTCTGGTGCGGCTGTAGACGGCATGGGTCAGCAGGTGTCATGAAGGGTTCAGGGGGAGGAATCACTGCATCTTTCGAACCAGAAAGCAATTAGTGACAAAAGCAACGGTAAGCAGTAGGTGCACTGAAAGTACATACTGCCACAGGTCACCAGTGGGTGACACACACAGGGGTGCCAGGAACAATTCTCTGGAGAAGGAATTCTTTGAAAGCATAAAAGCCACAACTACCAGAAACCACCCCTCCGAATGGCTCAAAGGAGTCAAGGTGGGTAAGCCGAGACGGGCTGGAGACAGGACCAGGGTCAAGAACTGGGAAGAACACTGATGTCTGAGCACGTCCAGTCCTCTGAGCCCTTGTCCTATTGAAAAAAAACAATGAGTTAAGAATGAGCTATGTTAAAACAGTATCAACAATAGCATTAGGAAAAGACCAATCTTGGGGAAAAATGGGATGTGAAAAAGCAAAAGGAAAAGCGGCAGAAAGGTCACCAACGCACTTGGAAACCACTGGGCAGTTTGGAAGGGGTGATTTCTGTCTTCATTTCATAGGCAACCTTTTCAGAGTTTGTTTCATCATACTTTTTTGGGAGGGAACACACACGTTAATATGCACCTGTATGCACATATGCATGCACACACACACACACACACACTCATGTGCTCACAGGCAGCCACCTTCATTCACAAGACAGCTTTTGTCAACTGCCATGATACTACACTCCAGTAGTCAAAGCCAGTGTGAGGGGGTTTATGAAGTAACACACATGTATGCAAAATCTTCTATTTTCCCGTATTCTTAGCAAATCAGTCTTTCTCTCTGGTGATTAGGGTATGGAGAGTATCGACTACATAGATACAGAAAGTGTGTTGTACTAAATGTTTAAGTTTTCTCTGTGACAAAGCAGAACAAACAAAACAAAGTGCAAATTGGAAGTGAGGTCGGTAGGTCTGGATTCCCCAAAGGCAGGAGTCCAGCATGGCCCCCAGGCACAGGAGATGGAGGTGATCCGATAGCTCTTTCCTTTCAGACCTCCAAAAGAGTACCCGGAAGTCAGCAGGTGGCAATCTGCTGACAGCCTTCACTCATTTCCCACACTTGACAGGGTCCACAACTGACTCTCCAGATGTCAACACGTGGGCTACCAGTATGAAGCCCGCCAGGAGTGTGTTGTATTAAAAAAGCACAAATAGGACAATTTCCCACTGTTATCTAATGTCTCTATTGTACTTAGGGAAATATTCCAGTTAAACTGATTCTAATTGTTAGAGGCCGCTAATTCTCAAACACAATCATGAGACTTTCCTGGAGGTCTTGATAAAACACACAGATGGAAAACACTGTTATGAACCACTATCTACAGCACTGCTGTATGTGATGAATTAACTTTACTCTTAGGTCACGATTAGTTTTGTTCCATCCTTAGGAGAACTGAAAAAACAGCCACTCAAGTCATACTCTAAGTTATTAGTTCTGATGAGGCAGGCTGGTTGAGATGGTCATTAGAGTAATGAAATGTGTCAAAATAAAAACAATTTAGACTTCTTTTTGATTACTGTGAAGTGTCTGCTAATAAAATAATCTAGCAGAATGACAGTCACTTCAGTATTTCACAAAGACTTTCTTATGGATGGTTTTTATTTACTACTCTAGTGTCAGGGCAGGAAGGATGAGACCCAACTATGCGACAAGGAGAGAGTGGAATATGACCTTCATCTACAGACGTGCTACTTTTATATGCTGGCAAGAAATTAAAACTATCCTAAAATGCTTTTATCTTCAACAAAGCCGAAGTGAAATGAATCAACACTCATAGTAACCAATTCACCTGAGAAAAATTAAAACACAATAGGTAAAGCAGCATGTCAGACGCCTACTTTACATTTACTTCTTTAGAGGGAAAGAGGCAGAGGAGCTGTTATGGCTAAGGTTGAGGCTCTGAGCTAAGGAACAGGAAGCTTGTCAAAAAGTTTAAACAAGTAAACTCTTAAAATTTTTAAATGGAAAATTTTTAATTTCTAGAATTGACTCTCCTAATATAATGTGTACTTTGAGTCTTTTTGACCCTTTAGGTCACTCACTCAGGGCCACTGCAGGTCTTGTAGAATGCTGTGCCCTGTTAAATAGTGACAACTTGCAGCTTCCTCTAGAGTAGTCTCTATCTACCTTTCTCCAAAGGGCCTATGGCTATACTCTATGGTTCTGTGTATGCTTTTTTCTAGTTCTTTCTTACTGTAACCAGTCAGTCAGCCATCACCTTTCTCTAGTGTGCCTACATGTGTGACAGCAACTATATCTCCCAGACTCTAATTTGTAGCTTCTATTCTCAATGTTGCAGGCCGGGAGCTCGGAAACAGTGCTCTGTATACTGTGAATGAGTCAATAGACCTTGTCAGGACACAAACCTAGTCCAGGCAGTGTGGAGAGAACAAAATAAAAAGTTTTGGATTCTCTGGAAAATTTTGCCACAGATGTACAATCTGAAGCAAGGAAATATGACAGAGTGCTCTCTATCATAGACCTAGGCCCAGAAGCTGACTTCACAGAATGCTGCTGTAATAGGTCAAAATGAAATGTTCATGAAAGAACCAGGCTCAGTGCTTAATGACCCCACCCCCACTCCCACCTTTCTCTGGATTCACTTTTATATCTCTATGACTAGATTGTAAGTCAGAGTAGATGCTGGCAACTTCCTATAAAATGTTAAGAAAAAAAAAGATGGATTGATGGGTGGAGAGAATGACAGGCATGTGAGAAAGCAACTATGGGGAAATGCTACTCATAGAATCTAGGTAGTAAAAATATGCTGTCAACTATACAACTTGCATTTCAACTTTTCAGAACAGCCGAAAAGTCAGTTAAAAACAAGAGAAAATACCATGCCAACTGTGGTCCTGGTGGAAGTGAACACAACACAGAATAACTGTCTGACAACAAGCTCCAGTCCTGGGTTCTCAGAACTGGGGTGGGCCCTGTGAAGGGCCTCAGTTCAGTCAACACAGACCCTAGGAGGCGTCTGGTCAGTTGCCACATCCTGTGGCATCGGGAACACTCACCTCTTTGTGTCATTTCCCTGGGCCTGCTGGGTTGCCTTTTTCCTCCTGAAGTCTGGCCAGCTGCCCCATAGATACCTGCTCCCTGTCATCCTTACTGGGTCATCTGTCCATATGTTTTAGGAGCCACCTGGACTGCAGACTCCTCGCAGGATGACTGTGCCTGGGCGCACACCTAGGTCTAACTCTCTGGCTCTGCTCTGTGTGTCCCTTCCCCACTAGTGAAGCCCTACTAAATCTTCGATGCCTGCACCCACCACCCCTGAAATCCTTCACATCAATGACAATGTGGACTCATGACTCTTCCTCAGTGACAGTCATGCACTAAAGGCTACAGTAACACTAGGCTTCTAGCATCCTCCCTTGAGTGGTTATTGATGATACTGGTTCACATTTTCCTCTGCATGGTGACCCAGGACAGTTTTTTACTGTTACCAACCTGCAGGCAAACCACCCCCCATTTTGTTCTTTAGCCACTCTAAGGCCTTCTCATTGAGCGTATGTGCTCTATTGGAAAGCTTCAAGTGACTTCTGCTTTCAAGCCTGGATGCTGCCACAGACAGCCTGAGTAACTGCCCCCACAGTCTAATATATGAAAATAAATGACATGGCAGGAGAGGAGAGAATAGAGATCTAGCTAACTAGAAACCCCTTAAACAAATACCACTTCAGAAACCATTTTTCCATAACTCGAGCTGGCTGGCCTCGTTTCAGTATAAACATGGTACCTGCTCTGCCACCTGCCTACTCTGCACAAGCCAATGCTGTTTGCCAAAGGACGCCTATTGCTCCTCCATGCTGAACTGTCCAAATCATTTCTCCAGCAACTGCTTCAGCCCTTGGTCTCTACTTCACGGCTCATTTTGACAGTATAACCCAGCCTTTCTGTCTCTCCTCTTACTAAACATTCTTAAAAATCAGCATTTGCATTTTCTTTTGCTCCAACACATTTTTAAAAAATCTACCAATAGCACAGCACTGTCCATCATACTGTATGACCTAAGCTCAAAAACCCTCTTTATTATTAACATTTAATTTGTATACTCTTCTTCCTTGCTAGGGTTTCCTAAGTGGACAATGCTCTAAGTACCTGACAAATTTAAGATCTGTATCCTGGCTGGAATCTAGCGGTCTCCTCAAAAATGAGTTCTTTCAGCTTTTCCTTGGGCAAGTCATCCAATTCCATGTCAAATTTGAATGGGGCTTCAGCGATGGGCTTTAAGAGAAAACAAACCATTAGTAAGTAAGAGTTACAGTTAAGGCAATCATTTACTGTGTCATAAAATGACTATGGCTAGATGTCAATATTCATGTAACAGGACTGACATCTATATATTTGTCCACCACATTCCTGAAAGCACACTTCTCATAAGTATTTAATAAATGGATAGGGAGGAGTTGAACCAATTTGAGTATTCTGAACTTATCACAAAACCCTGAACAATTTTCAAATATTTTAAGGCAATAAATGTTGAAATCAAGAAATTTGCTGTTGTAGGAATAAGACATGGTGGCAGGTTGATATGATCTAACCATGATATTAAAATAAAAGCATTTGATTAAATATATTACACAGTATCTTTAAGAAATATGTTGTTATTAGAAATTAAGCTGCAAGGAAAATTAGTATCATTGGAAAATACTCATATATACTTATATATATTTATACATATAAACTAATTTTACTGACTTAAAATTTTTATTACTGTTAACCATTTTTAATTTTAGTAACTGTTAACAAACTATAAAGTAATCTTTCTTATTTTCTGAGTTTCCAGAAAGTTCTTGTGTTTTAGCAGTATCAAGCTAAAATCGACTATTAACCTGAGTAATTGCCTCTAGGCCCTAATATAAATTGCCTATTCATGTCAACTCCTACACGTATCTAATGACAAATGTGAAGCTAGTCAGTACTGTTCCTATTTTGATTTTTAAATGTTGCCCAAAACTAATACAATGGAAAAGAATTAACCTGATAATGCTAGCTGTCAATCAATGGATGCCTCATATTTACCAGGCATCCCCAACTTTTATCCACATAATCCTCACACTTGGACTTTATGAAAGGAAACATGGACCCCAAATTCTGCACTAAGCTTTGGCCTCTTGAAACAGGGAAAAAATTAATTATCTGTAAGAGGGCAAAGGTGATGCAAAGGGTTAAGTGCAGCACTATGAAACTATCTGTAGCCACTGCAATACAAGTTCGATCTCCGGACAGGGAGGTGACCCACATGGCACTGCAGACCTCTCCTATCTCACCTGCTGCTCCCCAGCAGTATACTTTGGTTAATACACCTGTTCTGTTTGCCACTCTATCTCTGGTGACCTCTCACCCACTACACCTCTGGCCTAGTTCTTATATGCATAAATAAACTAATAGATCTTTAAAGAAAAAAAACCTAAGCCCTCCCCAAAGGACAACTTTGCGTAGAATCACACAGGTCATCCCACATACACAAACAACATCCTTCTAACTTTCCTACCCTCCCATTAGGTTTTGGGTACCACCAGCTCAAGATGAAGACACAAAGGCTTAAGAAATCTCCGGTTCACAGGGCCCTTGGAGCCCCCAAACTTTCTATCCTCACCTACTTGCCTGTCATTTACTGTGTTGTAGGTGTCTTCCCAAGCTGCCTCAACTTTTCTCAGGGGAGAAGGGAGATGGAAAGGGAATTTGGTTAATAAATACTTCCTCTTTTAATTTTTTTCCTCTTTTACTTTTTTAGCTACTTTCCCCCTCCTTCCATATTCCTCTTCAATTTTAACACATTCCCTATATTTCTTCCTCTTCTAAAAGCAGGATTATTATGTTTGTCTGTACATATGGGCCTCAACTAGAAAGATCCCAACTTTTGGTTCCTACTGCATAACTCTTCTGGAGAATGATGTTAAGCAGAACCCCCAGAAGACTCAAGAACCAAGGAAATGGAACTTTCCTGGAAAGAACATGAGATGTAATGTTTTACTTGGATGCTCAGCATAACTGGATATCCACTTCTGGACTCAGGAAAGACACTTCATGTGAAGTCACCAGTCAAGCTCTCCCCTTTGCTTTTGTACATTGCTATCCCACCCCAGCAACTAGCGAAGCTCTCCATCCTCAAGTTGAGAAACTTGGTTTATTGCTACAGACTATGAAATGATCTCCAGCTTTGGAAGCCTTCCTTATTCATCCATTTCACTGGCCCCATACTCACTGTTCCTGCTGGTACCCCAGCAGAAGTTTCCTAAGATAGGAGGGGTTAGATGAAGTGGGGAAGGGGTTTTAAGCTTCAAGTAATAATGACAGCATTAGTCCTTGAGGTGGCAGATGTGGACTTGTAGGGAAGACCAGGTATGGCAAAGTGTACTTCAGGAAATTTAACCATAGTTACCCCTGCCCCCCTACCACCTGTTGAGGCTGGCTGATAGACATTCCTGAAGAAGCAACCAGTTGCAGGGCTCTTACCTCATCACTTGGGTCATAATACTGCTCCAGATATGGATGGGCTAGAGCCTGTTCTACCTCAATCCTCTTGTGAGGGTTGAATGTCAACATTTTGTCCAGTAAGTCCAGAGCTACAAAGAGAAAGGTTTTGCACTGGTGAGAAGCAGAAGGAAGAGTCACTGAAATACCTTCCATTTCCTGTTTAAGTATACTGACTCATGAAAAAAGCACTGCCATGGGAGTAAAGGCTAGTAAAATGGATACTTATTTTATTTCAGAGCTTCTCAAGATGATGACCATATGACAACCACTGATCAAGACTCAAAAAGGTGACATATCCAAAGGCTGAAAGTAGAAGTCTGCCTACAAAACCTGGACTTTTTCTAAATCACTGCTCTGCTTTGTAGGTCTTAAAAAAACAAAGGTTCTCCCACAGATAATATCATAGTCAACAGTGAAGAAATGAAAGCTTTTCCTTGAAGATCAAGAACATGAAAAAGATGTCCATGCTTGTCACACAATTGCTTGCCAAAGTGATCAGGCAAGAAAAAGAAATAAAAGGCATTCAAATATGAGTCAAAGTAAAATTGGCACTATTTCCAAATGATATATTATAGACATAAAATCCTTAAATGCCACACAAAAATTGTTAGAATAAATAAATTCAGTAAAATTGCAGGATATAAAATTAACTTACAAAAAAAGCAGCATGTTTATATATATTAATAATAAGCTATCAGAAAGAAAAACAACCCTTTAAAATTGCATCAAAAAGAATAACATACCTTTGAAAAAATTTAAGGAGGTGAAAGACCTGTATATTGGAAACTATAAGACACTGATGAAAGAAATTGAAGATACAGATAAATGGAAAGAAATTTGTGCTCATGGCTTAAAAGAATATTGTTAAGGGCCCTCCTTGGTGGCGCAGCGGGTTAAAGCACAGCACAATGAAGCTTAAGCCACTTCTGCATGAGTTCGATCCCTGCCTGTCCCGGAGGAGATCCACGTGGCGCGGCAGATCCTCTCCTGACCCGCCCGCTGCTCCCCTCAGCAGTGTACTTCGTCGATCTGCCTGTTCTGCTCCCGACTCTATTCCTGGTGAATCCTCTCACCCTCCGCATCTCTGGCCTGTACCCCAGTTCCATATGAATAAATAAATAAATCTTAACAAAAAAAAAAAAAAAAAAAAAAGAAGCTGAAGCCACTACTGCATGAGTTTGAATCCCGCCTGCCCTGGAGGTGATCCACATGGCGGGGCAGACCTCTCCTGACCCACTCGCTGCTCCCCTCAGCAGTGTACTTCATCGCTCTGCCTGTTCTGCTACCCTCTGTCTCTAGTGAATCTTCTCACCCTCTACATCTCTGGCCTGTACACCAGTTCCATACGAATAAATAAATAAACCTTAAAAAAAAAAAACATTGTTAATATGTCCATACTACTCAAGCAATTTACAGATTCAGTGCACTCACTATCAAAATCCCAGAGACATTTTCTACAGAACTAGAAAAATTATTCTAAAATTTATATAGAACCACAAAAAATCAAAGCAATCCTGAGAAAGAAGAATAGCTGGAAACATCATGCTTTCTGATTTTAAACTATAACATCTTATTTGAATTATGATGGGGTTATAGCCCAATAAACTCACTTAAGTTGGAAATATCTTAAATAGAAATTGCATTTGATATTCTTACCATAATAGTTTATTTTAGCCTACCCTACCTTAAATGCTCAAAGCACTTATATTAGCCTGCAGGTGGGCAAGCCATCTAGTACAAAGCCTATTTTACAATGAAGTGTTGTGTATTTTTGTGTTGTGTTGGTATTATTGAATACCATACTGAAAACAAATACACAAGTATTGGTTATTTACCCCAGGAATTACATGGTTTATTGGGAGTTGCAGCACATTGCTAGTCTGGGGAAAGATCAAAATCCAAGTACAGTTTTTACTGAATATGTATCACATTGCTTTAATATTATCATAAAGTTGAAAAAGTGTAGTCAGCATAGTAAGTTGGTATCATTTTTATTACAAAGTAACAGCACTCAAAACAGTATGGTACTGGCTTAAAAACAGACATATGGGCCCTCCCTGGTGGCGCAGCCAGTTAAAGCACAGCACTAAGAAGCTTAAGCCACTTCCGCATGAGTTTGTTCCCCGCCTGCCCCGAGGAGATCCACATGGTGCGGCAGACTTCTTCTGACCCGCCCGCTGCTCCCCTCAGTAGTGTACTTTGTGGATCTGCCTGTTCTGCTCCCCACTCTGTCCCTGGTGGATCCTTTTACCCTCCGCATCTCTGGCCTATACCCCAGTTCTGTATAAAAAAACAAAACAAACAAAAAAACAGACATATACCCCAATGAAACAGGATAGAAAGGCAAGAAAACCCATGCATATATGGCCAACAAATTTATTACTAAGGAGCCAAGAGTATACAAAGAAAGGGCAGTCTCTTCAATAAGGGTGCTGGGAAAACTAAACAATCAAATGTATAAGAATAAAAGCAGACCACTAACACCATACAAAAAAAAAAAAAAACTACATGTGGATTAAATAATTGAACATAAGATCTGAAACACAACACTCCTAGAACAAAATAGGTGATTACGTTCTTTGATAGCAGTCTTGGCAGTGATTTTTTTTTTTTAATCAGATACTAAAACCAAAGGCAACAAAGGTGAAAAACAGTTGGAACTATGTTAAACTAAAACTTCTGCACAACAAAGGAAACAAAACAAGATGAAAAGGCAACCTACCAAATAGGGATAAATATTTGCAAATTGTGCATCTGATAAAGGGTTAATATCCAAAATATATTTTAAAATTCATACAATAGCGCCCCAAAATTCTGATTAATAAATGCTCAAAGTGGCCAAAAGGGTATTTTTAAATGCTCAAAAAATTTAGTCTTCATAGGGACTATCAAAAAATATTGCTGACTTCATTCAAGTCATGAAGGTGGGGTACTGGTGAAAGTTTTCAATTAATAGTAACCACACCCTGGATAAACTTCATTGGCTACTATACTCTGTCATTGCACAAAGCTTAAAGAGGACATTTTCCTAAAGAGAGACAAACAACAGGTATGCAGAAGGGTGATCACATAACTAACCTATTAAGCAGTATTGTATAATAATAATGAAACACTATTTAGGAGAGGAATTTAAATAAAAACCAACATATCATCTTTAAGATGGGCTATCATCAAATTAACAGGAGATACCAAGTGTTGGCAAGTCTACAGTGAAAATGTTACCTTTGTGTACTGTTGTTGAGGCTGTAAATTGGCAGTTACTATGGAGAACAATATGGAAATTTCTTTAAAAATTAGAAGTAGAATCACTATGTGACCCCACAAATCTATTTCTAGGTTATTTATCTGAAGGAAAAAACTTAGAAAGAGATATAAACACCCTTATGCAACATTATTTACAATAGCCAAAACATAAAATAACCCATGTCTATCATTTGATGAATGGATAAAAAAGCAAAGTGGTGTATGTGCACCTCTATGCACATATACAGATGCACGCCACAAGGTGGAATATTATTCAGCCATAAAAAGGAAACGGGGCTACTTTTAAACAATATGATCCCTGAGGGCATTAAGCTAAGTGAAATAAATCAGAGAAAGAGAACTACTGCACATTTCACTTACATGTGGAATCTTAAAGCAAAAAACACTAAAGCCCAAATTCATAAAACACACAAAAAAAATCGATGGTTTCTAAGAGGCAGGAGGTATATGTATGGCAAAATGAAGGCAATCAAAAGGTACAAAACACTTCCAGTTATATTACAGCTGTGGAGAAAATGTTAATGAGGCACGTTACTATCACTTTTTAATACAAATAGTGAATCACTCTTGTATACCTGAAACAAATAATTATACCTAAAAAAAAGTTTTATGTATGTGTTTGTCTTAAATCAACTTGAAAGAATTTCTGCACTGATTAACTTTCAAAATACAGAGAAAGCCTTTAAGATCATAAATGGAGTGGTCACTTGGACTCCCGTGCAGTTTGGTTTCAGACTCCTCCTGAGAGTGATGTGTGAACCAAAGACCCCCTGGTCTGCTCTGCTGTTTGCAGAGCAAAAGTAGTCTTGATCTGACCAGTAGTCAGCAGCTAAAGTTCCATGTTTATAGCATAGCAACAGAATGAGATTGGGGAGATAGGGGATAGCTAAGGAAGAGCTTCCATTACTGCTCTGTAGCTAGTGTTCAGGGACTAGGTCAAGCTATGAGGCTAAGCAGAGTACAGCAAACTATAGCTGGAACAAAGTTTAAGTAAAATAATGAAATACTGTATTTAGAATCAATGAGAAAGAATACATGTTAGAAAAGAGGTAAAAAGGTCACAAAGTTTTTTTGTTTTTAAACACTTTTAATCTCCTTTTTGTTATTGATGTTCAGACCAGTGACTTCCAATCTAAGTAATGGATCCTTTCTTCAAATAAATCCTTAGAATACCTTAAGATAGGGAGTAGATAAAAGAGCTTCCTAGCCTCCCTTAAGACATAGACCACAGTGTCAAGGCACTACTGAGAAACCCAAGGGCTCTAAGGAGTAAGTCTGAGAATCTACTAGAGAGCTGAAAAAAATCACTCAGTAATATAAAGAAGATACACTTTTAGAGAATGTAGTGACAAAATTAATCAAGACACTGATATCTGCTTAATGGCAAAAAGAAGTTATCATTTTAATAATTTACTAATTAAAAATATGTTCAAACCTTGAGGGCAGCAGACTGTATACCTTCTGAAGAGACTTGTTTGTGTAACAGGAAGTCAACCTTAATAGAGCAGGTAGAGCCCAGGGAGGCACCCACTGCATGAAGTAACTAAAAGGGCAAAAGAGTGAATGAGAGTGTACGTGCATGCATGTGTGAATATGCATGTGCATATGTGTGCATGTTCAGCTTTTGTATGTTACCTCTCTCCATCTTTGAAATAATGTAGGAGAAAATATATGTGGTAAACCATAAATGAGAAAACGCACACACCAAACTTTTCTTATGTCCATAACTAAACTGTAAAAAAGAGAAATTTTCAAAAACAGCACACATAATGAACTTCTACAAATAGTACATCCTCAAATTTACTTCTGCCTCTTTCTAATCTCA